TTTACCTTACTAAATCTCTTATAATTTCTTTTTCATGTTTACCTTTTAATGCTTCTCTTGAGTCTTGTGTTCGAATGTCAAATTTTCTATTCAGTTTTGGTCTTTTCATCAGGAATGCTTGAAAGTCGTCTATTTCATTAAATATCCATTTTCCCCCTGAAGGATTATACTCAGTTTTTCTTGGTAGGTTATTCCTGGTTGTAATCCTAGATCCTTTGCCTTCTGGAATATCATATTCCAAGCTCTCCACTTCTTTAAGATGGAAGCTGCTTGTGTGATTCTGACTGTGGCTCCATGATTTTGAATGATTTCATTCTAGCTGTTTGCAGTATTTTCTGCTTGACCTGGAAGCTTTGAAAATTGGCTATAATATTACTGGGAGTTTCCATTTTGGGATCTCTTTCATTGGGTAATGGGTGGATTCTTTCCATTTCTATTTTACCTTCTGGATCTAAGATTCTGGGGCAGTTTTCCTTTATAATTTTTTGACATATGATATCTAGGCTCTTTTTTTGATCATGGCTTTCAGATAGTCCAATAATTCTTAAATTATCTCTCTTCAATCTATCTTGCAGATCAATTATTTTTCCAATGAGGTAGTTCACTTTTTCTTCTATTGTTTTAGTTTATCTTTCTTGATGTCTCATGGAGTCATTAGCTTCTATTTGCCCAATTCTAATTTTTAAGCAAGTATTTTCTTCAGTGAGCTTTTGTACATCTTTTTTCCATTCAGTTCCTTTCTTCAGTTAATTTTTGCATCTCTTTTGCCATATGCCAATTCTATTCTTTAAGGTGTTATTTTCTTCAATATTTTTTGTGCCACTTTTATCAAGCTGTTAATTCTCTTTTCATAATTTTCATAATTTTTTTTTTTTTTGCTTTTTGGTGAGGCAATTGGGATTAAGTGGCTTGCCCAGGGTCATACGGCTAGTAAGTATCAAGTCTAAGACTGCATTTGAACTTAGGTCCTCCTGACTCCAAGGCTGGAACTCTATCCACTGTGCCACCTAGCTGCCCTGCTCTTTTCATAATGTTCTTGCATCACTCTTATTTCTTTTCCCAATTTTTCTTCTAGCACTTTAATTGCTTTCTTTAGCTTTTCAAGGAATTCTTGTTGGGTTTGTATTCAATTTGCCTTTTTCTTTGAGGCTTTGTAACTGTTTTCACATTGTTGTCTTCTTTTGAGTTTATCTTGATCTTCCTTGTAACCATAGTAGATTTTTATGGTCAGGTGATTTTTTTTGTTGTTGTTCATTTTTCTAGCCTATTTCCTGACTTTGAACTTTACATTAAAATTGGGAACTGTTCCTGTGGTGGGGTGGGGACTTTCACAAGCTTCAGGCTTTTTGGCTGCTGTTTTCAGTTAGTTCTGGGAGTCTGTAGGTTTTTCCAGTGCTTCCAAGGTGGTGTAATCTGGGGAGAGGTGTGGTCAGTGATCTCTTAGTCTGCACTCTGGTTTTTACCCAGAAAGGACCCCTGTTCTCCTGTAGCCACAAGCGATAATGTTCTTCTTGACCCTAGAACTGTGACCAGGTTCCCTGCTCTCTTGTGGCCACACAAGGGGTCCCCTGGTGTCATGCTGCCATAAACACTAGTGTTCCTTTTGTTGCTGCAATTGTGAGCAGGGCCCCTGCTCTCCTGGTGCCATAAGTGCTAGTGTTCCTCTCCACTCTAGAACTGCAACTGGAAGTGTCTATGGTCAACACAACAGGGTTCTGCATCTAGTGTCAGCAAAGGGTCCCCTGTAATCTCTTTCTGACCACTTGCCCAACCCCCTTACCATCTCTGGGCTGGAAGCTCCCAAAGAACCCATGTCTTCTCTCTCAAAGCTGGAATCCAGAAGACCAGGATCTCTCTTCTCCTTCAAACTCTTGCCAACTCTGCCTCTCAATTGCCACCAATGTGAAGCATCTTATACAAATGGGCTTTGAGCCATAGGTTACACAGAGATAAAAAATCAATGTACACAGAGTCTAAAGGTTTGACGGTGCTAGTATTCTCCAAATATGCAACATGAGTTGATAGTATTTTACACACATGGGCACAAGCATCATACTTTTTGGTGACATTTGTGGCCCTTTTGGGCCAGTAAAATCTTTTTCTTATTAGCTCTAGGGTCCTTTCTCAGGCAATCTCTAAAATCATCCTGTAAAACTTTCATGACAATAGATAGATATGCCCTGGGTAGTACTAAATGCTTCCTAGTGCCATGTGTGGGATTCAGTGACAGTACAGTACCTGGAATACAGTAGGCACTTAATAAACATTTATTGATGACTTGTTGATTTGAGTTCAATTTAGTACTCTTGTTGTACAACTCCAATTTCTGCCATCGTCTCTATGATAAAGTACTCTCGAGTGACTGGCGCATGACTCTTTCTGTTTTGTTTCTTGGTTTGTGTTACTTCAAATAGTATGTCCGCCATCTGCTCTCTTCAATGGTCATCCACAAATAGCTGAGGTGAAAAGACTGTGAGTTCTTTGAGGGCAGGTCTTTTAAGGTTTTTAAGCCTTTCTTTGTATTCCCAGTGTTTAGCACATTGCCTGTCACATAGGCACTTAATAATGTCTACTGTGGGATTAAAATAGGGTTGACTCCATGAAAAAAGGTTCTATATGCTCTTTATATACTGTCTGATGGAAGTCCCAAACTTCCAGCTGTTCTGCCATCTGTCTTCCAGCTCCTTGGGAGTTAAATATAGTTTTCACTGTCATATGGCCTTTGGAACAGGGCACTGGCATCCCAATTAGTCTTCCCTGGCCAGTCATGAATGCTGAACTCATTGATGTCTAGGACTGCCATCTCTCTCTGGCAAATAGCATCAAACAGTCGAAGGCTAAGTAAGACCTTGGTTGAAGCTATCTTTCTATACAAGACATAAACTTCCTCAGTGACACCATTTTGGGGAATATATCTCCTTGGTAGGGCTGTGAAGAATTCTCTAGCCCTGGGTTTTTACTGGCCTACTGACATCAGCTGAGGATGACTGAATCATGATTGAAGGAGATGTGAGCTCCATGCCTGGATTTGGCCTACAAAAAGAAAACAGGCACAGACGTGGAGGAAAAACTGTCTAGGGCTAACAGAGCAGATGGGAGGCCTTCTATATACAAAGAATGGGGTTAGCCCCAGGGAGGCATGTGGGAATCCTGCTAATACACAAAGCACCCAGGGAGACAGCCAAAGTGGAGGGGCATTGAGACAAAGCCACGAAATACAAAAGTAAATCCAGACTTTGCCCTCCTTTATTACTATGACTTGTATAGACTATGCAAGTCCAGGAGAAGGAAGTCAACATTTTATTGACCCTCAAGTGCTTTCCCTTTCAGGGGAGCCTTATAAATATGGAAGACTTCATAGAAGTCATGAAGAAGGCTTATCTGATAGAGGAGAGCTGTCTTAACTTTTTATGGGCTTAGATATGAGTCCTTTATGTTTTGAATTTTCTATGGGGGTAAAATAAAGCTTGCTCAGAATCAGATATAAGCATACATGCTTAAAGTAGCCCAGGTATGGGAGGTAACTCACTGATGCAGGCAATATAATCTGTGAACATGACATTCAAAGTGTCATCTACATCCTCCTCTTCTCTGTCTCTCTTCTCTTTCTATCTCTGTCTCTCTCTCCAGCCTTCCTGCTAGCAGTTCAAGGAGGTTTTCACCTGGTGGAGGGTGAGAGGAAGCTATGGCTATGACCACCAAAACTCACTCTCAGGCTCCTGGGCTTAGCTATAGTGTGGGAATTTACATTGTTACTACTTACCACTGTAGTTCCCAAGCCCCCACCAGCTCCCATTTACACAAAGCAGTCACAATGACACCATTAACTCTTATATATGAAATATTTACTAAACAAGAAGGCAAAAGCAACAATAATCATCATAAAACATTTACTCAGGAATAGCCAAAATATGATGGTCCATCAATAAACTTTGGTCACTCTCCCACCAATGTGCACAGCGTGTATCTGTAGGAGTGGGCACACACTTACAGAATCTAGTAATGAGATACATGAGTAGAGAAATGCAGGCACCTGAAGCAGCTCAAAACTCTGGACTTCAAGATTGGTTGGCAATGGTCTCTCCGACGAAACAGTCTATCTGTCCTGTTCTAAGCTTCTCCACTCTCCTGCTTGGCAAAGTTGCTTCTCTGCTACTCTGAAGCTGCTGGAACAGTGGTAAGTTCTTTTAGTAAAACAACTGCATTATACTCTTTCCGTGAAACAATAGCCCTAAACTTGGAGTGTGGAGCTTTCCAGGTTGACTACCTCGGCTGGGCACTACAGCAGTTTTAAGTTATTTTAGTGGCAGATAGTTCTACCTTTACCAAAGTACTTCAAATCTGCTCTCTCCTGAAAAGTGGCTTCCTCTCAGACAGAAAAGGATGAAAGTGTGCTTGCCCACATGGCACCAAGGGAGGGATATATAGCTGATGTTCCTGAGCCCTTGTCTTCCAGCCAGAGAAGGGGGATTTCCTGGGCCTTGGGGCTTGTTTTGAAGGTAATCTTAAATTCCAACTCTTGGAATCTGGACTTCTAGTTAGAGAAAGGGGATTTTCTAGATTGAAAGTAAGTAGATAGAATACAGAGATACAGCATTTATTAAGCACTTACTATGTGCTGGGCACAATGCTAAGCACTGGGATACAGATACAAATAAGATATTCCTGGCCCTCAAGAGTTTAGATTCTAATGAAGAAACACTGATGAGCTAGTAAGGGGAGGGAGACCAGGGCAGGGGCATGTTTTGGAGATAGCCAAGATATGACTTAGATCCAGGCAAATAAGATGAAAGCTCACCTATCAGAACTCAGTGTGGCTTCAGGAAGTACAGTCCAAGTTTCCATGGGAAGGAGTTGGGGCTGATGACCAGATCCTGAAATTTATCCTTTTAGCCAGAGGGAGGAGATTTCTTGGATAGCACACTTTCTTGGACAAAATGCCTTTTAAATTACTCCAAATCTGAAAGCCAGTCATCCAGCCTTCTATTCAAAGCAGGAGACTTTCATGATCAGTGTGCCTCTTGAAGACAGATGAGAATCACACACTTGTCTCTGAGGGACAGTGGCAAAGGACCAAAAGTCACGCTGTGGGGGAACAAAGGACCTTAACTTTGTATGTGTCATTACAAAGAGTTATTTGGACTGTGTGGTTCCCAAAGGAAGGATGTTGTCTGTTTAAGGGGAACATGTGTTTCCCTTCCAAGGTGAGTCCAGACCACAGGGGTGGAATTAAAAATCTGGTAACAAGTTATATAGGAGCCTGCGGTAAATTAGGACCTCCAGAGAGGAAGAAGAATTGTGTTTGTTTCTGAGCTACTGTAAGTTCTTTTATGTGTTTTTGCACTCATTCATGGGCTCCTTTGAGTCTATTTTCTACAGGCTGAAATAAAGGCTTTTATCTTTATCATACCTGATGAAGGCACTAGATACCTTGAGTGCTTATACAGAATTTAGCCATCCTGTCATCCTTATTTGTGAAGACTGGACATTAATTATATTTTGAGATTTCCTGGAGTAAACTCCAGTTGGGGGCAATATAAACCAAAGAAAAAGTCATGTTTTGGCTAGTCCCCAGGATTGACTTTGTTTTATGTCAGTCCAGGGCTTAGGGTTCCTAAGTCATGGGTAGAGATCTAAACACAATATGTGTGGATGTTCCCTGGGGACATCCAGGGTAAGAAGAAAGTGAACCAAATTCTAAGGTTCCCAAGAGAATCCCAGGATGACAAGAAAATGAGCAAAAAAGATTTTTAGAGAAACTGGGTCCAGTTCCTCTACACCCAGAACTGGTGTTCTAGATTATAGATTACAAATATCCCTGGATCGTAAGAATGAGAATGTTGAAAAACAAGGAAGCTTAATAATCTGATGTTCTAGATCACTACTCTCTATACAATTGACAGTAGATGTACTGGGTCCACCAGTCTACAATATGTAGTGTTATTTGCCCCAGCTTCATCCCAGAGATGGCAAACTTCCTGGGCCCTGTGGCTGGTTAGATGTCTTCCTCCTGCCAAGTGGATGTGGGGATTGCCTTAAAAGGGTCTATTACTAGCTTGGCACACCGAACTGTCATTACAGTCAGGAACACACACATAAGGACAACAAAACCAATGGCGAACCCTTTATCCACATCAATGTTGGAGATCCAGCTTGCGTCCTCCATGCAGATACTTTTTCTGCTGCTGTGGCTGCCTCCTCAGATCCCTCTGTACAGGTATAGTATTCCTTGGGAGAAACAAGGGTGAAACATGAATGCAAATTCCTTTGTGGACAGTTCTGTTTATTATTGTTGTTATTGTTATTGTTCTTATTTTACAGAAACCAAGGGGAGGGGAGCAAGGGTTGGAGAAGCCCCATAAGAGGAAGATTTATTCTCCATTCAACAGGCATTTATTAAATATCTATTATATACGTGACACTGTAGCAAATGAAATGGTTGGAAGAAAGGAAGTGGAAAGCATTTTTAGCTACCCCTATCCCAACTTGTGCCAAACTCATTCTCTATTATGAAATGACCCTTCTCTTACTGGTCCTGGAAATTGTTAGTATTGTTATTGTATACTTAATGTTTTGCAATATTTTAAGATTATAAAGTTCACTGGATGGCCAGTTCCCTCAGGGCAAACGGAGTCCCAACCCAAGAACATAGGAAATTGATAGAAAATCAAATGAAGTTGGTAATTTTAGCTTTTATGCACTTGGGAAGAGTCCTTAGGTTGGGAAGTGAACTTTGAAATTCTAAAATACTCCAGTTCTTACTCTGCCAAAGTAGAGAGAGGGAGAGAGAGAGAGAGAGAGAGAGAGAGAGAGAGAGAGAGAGAGAGAGAGAGAGAGAGAGAGAGAGAAACTATGAGCAAGAAGGTCCAGGGATTAAAATGATGAAAGCTATTAAAAACCACTTGGAATACACCTAAATTAGGTTGAGATAATAACTAGTGGTGAAGAAATTGGGCTTTATCTAAAAGAAGAACCGGCCTTACATATGGTTATTGAGCATATTTCAGACCAGAGACAAGAACAGAATGGGGCAAGAACAGAACTTCCCAAACTGGGTTCACACAGGGTTAAAAGGAGTCTATCGTTACACCTTTGCAAATTTAACAATCTTAAGTGTCTTGTTCCTTATTTTGTTTTATTGTACTTTCCCTACATCTTCAATTGTTAGTGTTGTCTTCCTTCTTGAATTAACTTGTATTTACATATTTGGTTACATGTTGCATTCATTCCTCTAAATATAATATAGAAATCCTTGAGGTCAGGGATTTTTTTTGTTTTGTTTTGTGTTTATATTGTTATCGTCATGCCTAGCACAGTGCCTTGCACATAGTAGGAGCTTGATATTTATTGAATTCTTCCTAATTACCTAGTAAAGCTTCGTAATCTCCCCTCCCTTTTCCTACCATGTTTTGTTTGAATTAAAAGAAGGATTTTTGTGATGCCGTTAGTGGTGAGCTAGGAATGGTGGCCACGGGAGAATGAGAACTAAATAATCCTTTGGAATTTGGGGTTCAAACACAGGGGCTGTTGCCCTCCTTGGGGTGCTACTTTTAAGTTGTCTTTCACCTGAGACCTTTTATTCCTGAATTTTTTTTTAAAGAAATGGTGGTACTACTACTCTGCAGTCAAAACTTCTTAGTCATTTTGTGTCCTCATTATCCCGTACCCACAACATCCAATTAATGACTAAATCCCGGAGATTCTGTTTCTATTTTTCTCATACCTGTCCCTTTGTTTCCACTCCCAGTGCCACTACTATAGTTTAAGCCATTCTTACCAGCTTTTTAATTGATATATTCCTGCCTCCCAATCGCTCTCTGGTCCAATCCATCCAACTCCCCCCCTGCCAGATGAATTTTCCAGCTTTGATCATGCCGTCCCAGTGTTCAAAGCCCTTCAAGAATCCCACTGTTTACCAAACCAGGCCTGAACTCTTTAGTCTGATACTCTTGGTTCTCCATAAACTATCCTTCCAGGATTATCTCATACCCCTCCCCTTCATACATAACTAAACCACGGGTAAACCGTTGTAACTGATATTCATTATTTGAACATATGTCAGGCTTTCCTCTCCCTCTGCTTTTGCCTCTACTGTTCTCTATGCTTGGAATATAATTTCCTTAGTCCATCAAAATATCATCCTGATTCAAGGCCTAGCCCAAATACCACTTCCTCTATGACGACTTTCTGATTTTCCCAGCTGCAAATGATCTCTCCTTCTTTTATGTTCAAATAGTACTGCTTTGAACTGCTTACTGAGGAAACATATTTTAAAAACTTTTCTAGCTTCTCTAGAAATATTACTTACTTAGCCAGCCTAAAAGTCTTCCTAGTCCTTTCCCTTTAGCAAAGTGGGAAGAACAAAGGCTAAGACCTTCCTTTGTTTTTTTGTTTGTTTTGTTTTTTTGACTAGGCAACAGGGGTTAAGTGATTTGCCCAAGGTCACACAACTAGTAAGTGTCAAGTGTTTGAGACCACACTTGAACTCAGGTCCTCCTGGCTCCAAGGCCAGAGCTCTATCCACCGTGCCACCTCACTGCCCCTAGGATTTTCCTTTGAAATAAAGTAAGGGTAACACCCGAACTGAACTCTTGTCTACTTGGTGCTATTGTTTCCTACATACCTGGAATGATTGGACAATATGACCCACCTGGAGACAATGTTTGAAATTCAAGGTTAAGATATTGATCACAGACAGGAACTCAGAGAGGAGAAGTGATCCAGAAAGGAACTAAAGGGTAACTTTTCTAGGATGTGAACCCCAAACTGTATTTTAACATATTATGATCTTTTCCTTGTTTGAGATTTCTATAACCATCATCTGAAATTGTGTTGGGGTACAGTCATGTGGAAAAGCATGGGGGACTCTGCAAGTCTGAATGTCTCTCTCTCTCTCTCTCTGTCTTCAAGTTAGAAATGGCCTGGACCTATATCAAATAAAATTATTCCCTACAGACAAGATCTTATGATAAAGTTGTTGAGATAAAAATCTCATGAGAATGGGGGGAAATGAGTTACATAAGTTATCATTTATTGTTGGGAATCTTGATACCCTTAAACTAGATCAGTTTGGGCTGAGGCATTGGGATCTGGGTGACTGAGGCAAGTCACATCAGTATATGTGCAAAAAGGATGGAGAGGGGACTCAGATAATGTCCTGAAAAAACTTAATTCGTGGGACTTATTTAGTCCTCACACCAAAGCAGTTTGGGTCATAAAGCTGACATGGCATCTCCCCTGAGCTCCCATTCAATATATCAACTGTCCAAGGCTCATGAAGGGTAAAACTTGCAAAACTGGGGTCCCCTTATTGACTCTTTGCCCTGACATCATAACTAGGGTGCTGTGTTGTCTTGATGGGAGGGGCTAGAGGTGACAATTGAGGGTGGGGAATGAGGTACTGGGGACAGGTTCACTAGGAGGCCCTGTGCTGGTTGCTGGGCAGCAGTATGGACCCATATGGATTGAAATGAGTTTACTGAAAGCACATTCATGAAGCATCAAATGGATGAAGCAGGATTTGCACACCTGCACAAAGGGAGGAAGCTGGAGCAAGCTGAGCTTAGAGCACCATCTGGTGATTTACACAGAGGCTTGACTCTGAGAAGTTATTCCAGCCCTATCCCTGGAGGAGGCACTCAAAGCATTGGCTCTGCCCCTCCCGTAGGAGGACACGCACATGCTTGGCCTGACAGTTACATATCTGCCTTTTGCTCCTCATTGCCAATGTGTAAATCATGTGTTCCTGTGGAGACCACTCTTTACATGTGCAAAATGAGGAGAGCACCGGCCCTGCCTAGCTTCTGGGGAAGTGGTGAGGATCAAAACAAGACAGCGTACACTTTAATGTGTTCCTCCATGAAGTCTTCTCTAAACATACTGATCCAATTAATACTCTACTCTGACTTCCTGTCCATACCACATATCTTAGTATTTGATTTAAGTCATTTTTCTTAAGTCACTTCAGTTTCCTCATTTGTAAAACAAGGAGGTCTCTAAAGGCTATTACTGCTTTATAACCTGTCATTACATACTCTATTGTTCTACAGTTTTATGTGTGTAAAGTCTGATTAGATTTAAAAGGTACTTGAGGGCAATGAACCCTTTATGTTGTTTTATGCCCATATGAAAACTCAAAGACTCAATTCACATCATTCTCTCATCAAAATCAGTCAATTCCTTTGAAAACTAAAGTGGAATAGAGATAGATGGGACCTGTGATTTAATTCGTATAGGGAGGTCTGGGGAGGAACTTCTTCTACCAATGTAGGTAGGCACTTTTTCTGCAACTTATGGTCTTAGTTACCTAAAGCAATGAGAGATGAGTGATTTACTGGCCCAGAGTCACATAGTTTGTATTAAAGGCAGGACTTGATCTCAGGTCTTCCTGGTTCCAAGGTCAGCCCTCCATCCACTATACAAGGCTGCCTGTCACCCTTGATCTTTCACATGTCACATTGTCTGACTTGAAGGGCCTCTTCTGCCTTTTAAAAAACAGACTTGTGTGCTACCTTCTAAAAATACAATATATGGTAAATGTTATCAGTGTGGAATTTCTTATTAAATAGCAAAAAGAACAAATGTCAAAGCTGAAAGAGAAGCTTATGAAGATGGATTTTAATTTAACAACAATAATTTAGACTCAGATATTATCCATGGACTATATGATGTAGAGACACACATGGACAGGCAGGAAATATCAGGTTCTTTAGGTAAAACAGAAACCATACTTTATTTAATCAAGTGTTATTTCACATGACTACAGGAAGAATGCTGCTAAGAAACAGAGGGACCAAATTTGATCTGGATTTCAGCATAACAAACAGAAAAAGGAAAAAACAGAAACCTGTCAAGGACATTTAAAATGATTAGTAGGGTTCTTTTCTTTGTTACTTAAAAAAATACCCTGCTTATTAGGATGAGAATTGAAAAAATGGGGGTCAGGAAGCAAATCTCTTTATCCATATTGCTTAGGTTTGGGACCTTTTAGGGGTCAGGAACAGCCAAATTTCAGAACATCCTTTCATCAGTTTCCTCTGTTTTGCCACGTTCCCTTCCCGAAACACCTCACTTTTCTTTCCTCTTTGTCCTCTTTCCTAAACAAGGCACCAGTCTCTCTCCTTCCAGTAGGACTGGCTCTGAGAAGGAAGGAATCTTCAAGTATGATCCTTAGCCTTTTATGCTACAGTTCTTAGAAAAGATAGGATACAGTATAATGGAAAGAACTGTAGACCCAGTGGAATCTTGGATCAGGCTTTGGGCTCTGCCACTTAACTGAAACAAGCAAGACAATTCTCTGAACTTGAATTTCCTTATCTTTTAATGGCTATCATACTATTTCCACTGTACTTCCTGTCTCATAGGTTGCAAAGAAAAAGTATACATGAATTCTGTAGTGTTAAGACATCATATAGCATAACCTATTAATCACGAACTACTCCAGCTGGCAGAACTCTTTGGAGATCACATCTCTAGATCATCATCCCACACATCAAACCATATCCAAGACGTGATGGATAGCTCTTCATTTCTTAATGAGCTCCAGGAAGAAAACTTCCTGCTATAATCACCTTCGTAACATAAAGCCTAAAAGAAAAGTACCACATATTGAATCCCACAGAATTAAAGTTATAATTACAGTATTTCTGAAAGGGCCTTCCATAGCAGATATAATGGTAATAGCTTTTTACCTTTGGAGGTAGTGACATCCAAGGCTGGTTGATAAGGCAGACTTCACCTAAATAAATGCATCACTTTAGCAGCATGTGATCTTTGCCCTCTCTATTCACCCCATGTTGCTGGAGTGGTGGCAGTGGTATGGTAGACGGACTGCTCTCTTCATCTCTATCTCCTACACTGAGGTACCAGGTACTTCATGAATAGTTCAACCAAAACAGCTTCAAGTTTCAGACACCCTATAATGAGTGAGAAAATGATCCCAATTGATTAAATAAGAACCTGGGTCATTGGGGGAATATTTCCACAACTTTACCTAGGCTGGGGAAGCTATGGTTAACATACTGCTCATGAACATGTGTGGTGGAAGGTAGAACAGCCCAGTCCTTTGGTCTAAAGCAGGGATTCTTAACCACTTTTTTGTTTGTTTTTATGTCATGACCCCACTTAGTAGTCTGATGAACTCTCTGGGCACCTTTTCAGAATAAAATTTTTGAATGAACAAAATAAAATACATACTTATTACAAAGGAAACCAATTATATTAAAATAGAGATGTAATTTTTATCCCACTCAAGTTTATGGATCCCTTGAAATCTATCCATGGACCCTCATGGACACCAGGTTAAGAGCTCTTGGTCTAAAGGAATACTGAAGTACAACTTCATATTTCCTTTCCCTTTACTCAGGCCAACTTAGGACATATGGACTTGTCAAATCAAAAGAACTTCACTGTCCTTGTCTGAGAGATAGCTTTCAATTTACTTAAATTCAAAATGCATTTATTAAATGCCTACTATGTGCAAGGCACTATAGTAGGGAAGACAAAAATAAGGAAAAAAATAGACCTTGCTCTCAAGAAACTTGCATTCCATTAGGGAGATACAATATATACACAGATGAGTAAATACAAAATAGTGGTAAGTGTCTGGGGCTATATTTGAACTCAGGTCTTCCTGACTACAGGCCCAGTACTCTTATCTACTGGGCCACCTAGCTGCCTCAATCCCATACTCTATTTAAGAAGATGCCTCTCTTTTGTCCAATCCCTAATATTTTTATATTAATGGTTCTTACTAAGATACGGTTGCGTAAGGGTAGAAGTTTTCACCCTATTCTAATTAATGTAATCACAAACGGCCCAAATATCTGGGTTGAAACAATCTTTCTACCAAGAGTGTAAACAAGTCCTTAATCATTTTAAGAGGAATAAAATATATTGATCATTGGATAAAGAGAGATGGTGCCCCACACAGGAACTACCTCGTGAATAGCTAAAAGAATTAGATATACTGGGGCAGCTAGGTGGTGCAGTGGATAGCACACAGGCCCTGCAGTCAGGAGGACCTGAATTCAAATCCGGCCTCAGACATTTGATACTTTCTAGTTGTGTGACCCTGGGCAAGTCACTTAACCCCCTTCCCTAGCAAAGAAAACAAAAAACAAACAAACAAAAAAGAAGCAGATATCCCTCTGGGTCATCTATTAAACTTCAACCTGGTTTGGAATTGTACATTTCAGTAGTTTATCACCTAGGTAACTATGGGAATTTGGAAGATCCATCACAGTTTTCATAGGTTCTACCAGTGACCAGAGTTGGTAGCAGAGTCCAACAGAGTGAGAAAAAATAGAGTATTTTTATTAGAATATATTTTATTAGAAATAGCCTATGATAGAGAAAATGCCTACAGACAGATGTGAAAAAATAGTCACTGACAGAAGGCAGAAACTTGAGGGATTATGACCCCTTTTGATAAAGAGAAGTGCCAGTTATAGAGCCTACAAAGGCACCTATTGAAAGAGCCTAGCGGAGAGCTATTCATGTAGGGGACACTTCATAAGGATGCTACAAAAGGAGAAAAGGACTCTGGGAGCCTTGAGATACACTTTTAAAAAATATTTTAAAATTAATTTATTTTGAATTATCAACAATCATGAGATACATTTTATATATATATATATATATATATATGACTCATTACCTTGTACTTTAATTTTTAGCCTGCTTTCTCCAGAGACCTTGTGAGTGTAAGGGAAAAGTATACCCATGGTTTGAGGAGAATGTTTCTAGTGTTTGTACCTTCCATTAAAGTAAATCCCTTTTGTGAAAAAAATAAAAAATAAAAATTACTGGCTGATAATCAATAATAATAACCCACTGGTGGGGGCTTACAGTACTAGAAAAACCTAGCCCCTCAAGATTTTACTTCACGAACTTCAAGCAGTAGTAGTGATTTGTCCTCTAGTAACCTAAACTGTCAATGCAAGTGGAAGTTAGGACAGTAAGCCTAGAATGATACTCTTATACACAGTCTCTTAAATCAGAATGGTTGAAATGAATCAAAACAAACTAATATCAATCCATTTCAGCTTATACCTTCCTCATCCGACATGATCTTCCATCAATCCCTTCCCTAATTCCTTGTCCTTGAAGGAGGCACCTCTCCATCTTAAGTATGAGTCTCTACTGGCTAGCTGAGGTATTACAAATTAAATAATCCATGAAAAGTGATTTGCAAATCTTAAAGTACTATATAAATGTTAGTATAATTACTCTTTCTCCAATATGCAATTGAGTTCATTTAAAACTATATCATCATAGGAAATTTATATCTTAATAGCCAAAATGATTGTATTACATTATATAATAAATACAGAGGTACCTAATATGCATAAATAATATATTATACATAATATCACATGAAATGTGATACATGTACTACAGGGCTAATCCTGTGAAGAACCCTGTAGGAAAGACTACTATAAGGTACTATATGTAAGCTATTACATATGTATATACACACACACATATACATGCAACACATACATGCATATATACACACATACATGTTACATATAGTAGATGTGTACCTTAATAGTCAATATGTATTACAGCACATTATATGATATACATATAATGATGACAGACCTAATATGTATATTATATATAATATAACATGCCACATAATATAGCACAGTACACAGTACAATATAACACAATATGTTATACAGCATGTCAATAATAAAATAACATGCAATTCACAACATATTATATGATATACATATAATACGTTATATATCATATACATGTCAGATACCTAATTATATATATTATATAATGTAATAGAACATACTCATGTTGGCTATTAAGGTAATATCTCATGTACATTCTATAATATAAAATATATAATGGTATATAACATCCTATAAATAAAGCAACATGTAATATAAAATATGTTACACAAATATAACATGATACTGTAAATATATACAATTTAGGTATCTAGTCCTATCACATATTATGCATATTATAATAACGTAATGCAATTGTACTGACTATTAAGGTGGACATATACTATATAATGGGGCTCCTAGGTGGCGCTATAGTGCACTGAACCCAGTTTGCCTCAGTTTCCTCACCTATCAAATGAACTGGAAAAGGAAATGGCAAACCACTTCAGTATCTTTGCCAAGAAAACCCCAAACGGGGTCATGAAGAGGACATGACTGACCAACAACAAAATATAATATAAACCAGATAATACCATATGTATAATAGATCATGTTATATGCCATATAATACTCAGTATAACATAGTACATTGCACATTATATGCTTCATATAATGCACAACAAATACAATATACTATATTATATAATATACTATATTTTTATATAGGATGTGATTCATCTAATTTTAGATAGGGTACTTTGCATATATTATATATAAGGTAATAAAATTGCACTGGCTATTGAGATGCATGCCTCTCTTGTATGTATATTATCTATGTCACAGTGATTACTCTGACTGCCCCTAATGTCTCCCCTAGGGTTCTCTGCTGCCATGAAGGGGGCCTGGGGGCACCTAGTTTCTGCCACTGAAGGTTTTAGCCATCACCAATTATATTCAATCAATTTCAGAAGGGGCTCTGCACCCCAGTTCTATTTAACCATTTTATAGTCAGATTGGCTTTTACAAAGGAATATTTACTTCAAAGATATAGCAAGGAAAAAACATACAAACAGCTTAAAACTCAGTTAACACAGTTTCACCAAGTTCCAAGTGGCCCCCTCTCCCCTTGTGTTTCTGCCCTAGACTTTTCTGGGGCTTCCTAGCTGGTTTGGCTACAATATCTGGCCTGGAATCCTGCCTCCAAAGTTTCCATAGCTTCAGCTGTAGGGGGTGGGGTGAGGGCAGAGAAGTACAGGGCCTCCCCTGCCTGACAGGTACGGAAAAGGAGAAGCAAACAGAACAACTCCAAGGTCATTTATTGAGGCCCCTGTGCTGTAGGGGAATAGGACCTTCACCTACCCCCATGGGAGGACAGGAACTGTCTCAGGCTGGTCCTTTTAAAGATGCCACCTGTTCTGGCTTCATAGCCAGGCACATGTCCAAAACTGTACTAGTCACTTCCCTCACTAAACCTGCCTCTCTCTTTCCCAGTTACTTGATGGTACCACCATCCTTTCAGTCACATAGGCCCCTAACCTCAGTCATGTGTGAATCTTTAACTCGTTTCTCTCACACTCACATTCAAACTTTTGTTTGAATCTTATTGATTCTACTTCCAACAACATCTCTTGTATCTACCTCTTCTCTCCACTGTGTTACCAGCCTAGTTTAGGCGCTGAGTTATCATGAGAGCCTCCTACCTGGTCTCCCTATCTGTCAGCCCTTCACATTGATGCCAAAACAATCTTCCCTATGCACAGGTCCCATTATATAACTCCTCCGCTCAAAGCCCTTCCCTGCCTCCCTAAAGAACCTGTGTTCCTTAGCCAGGCATTTGATGACCTCTGCATTCTGATTCTAAGATAACTTTCTAGCCCAAACTGGATATGTTCCCTGATCTAGTCTGTCAGACTTTCCACTCCATGAATTTGTCCATGCCTGGACCATAAGGTAATCATAGATTTGGAGCTGCAAGACCTTAGAGTTTATTTAGGAGGGGAAGGGTAGGGAAGACAATGAGCATTTATACAATGCCTACTATGTGCCTAATCCAACCCCTTCATTTTATAGGTGAAAAAAGCCACTTCACGGGCCTGAGGACCCAGAAAGGTATCCAGTTTAACTGATACTACATCCTGGACAAACAAGGCCCTTTCTGATATTACCAAATTTTAGTTCTTCTTCCTTCCTCAAATATTATCACTGGTGCCTGCCTACACAGGGGCCTTCCACATGGTAGCCATTTAGTGATGACTGGATTGGACTAGAGTTGTAGGAATTTTCTGTATTTACTGGCACGAGGAATGCAATTCAACTGGAAAAAAAAGAAAAATAAAGGAAGAAAGAAAGAAAAATTAGTGCCTGCTAAGTATGAAGCACAATTCTAGGCTCTAGGAATATAAAGACAAAATAGCCACTTTCATTCTAGTGTGTAGGTATGTTGGTGGGGGTAGCGGGAGTAGAAGAGAATACAAAACATAAACCAATATAGATACACGGTAATTTGAGGAAGGAAAGAGCAGTAATACCTGGTGGGATGAGAAAAGGTCTTATTCAAGAGGTGACCTCTGTGCTTTGAAGGAAGCATTCCTTAATAAGGAGACGGTGCATTTCAGCCATGAAGTTGAAAGTCTCATTCCTAATTCCTCTTAGAAAAGCACCTCTTCCCAGCGGGGTAGGAACAGAAGACTCCCTAACGTCCTCACACCTGACTTCTATGCACCCAGCCACCGCTTGAAGACCTTCCCCGAAGGAGGGCGCCTACTTCCCCACTGGGCTGCCCCACTAGCATTTTTAGAGAGTTCTTCTATTGGAATGGGTTGGTCACCACCCTGCAAGTGGTTTTTCTCTGGCAGCCACCAAGCCTACTGAAGAGCAAAGCAGTCTCTGGCTCTGCCAAGAAGCCTTTCTCAGTCTCCCTAAGCTAGCGCCTTCCTTCTGAGACTACGGCCAATCTCTTCTTTTCGCACCTTGTTGCACGCAGTTGTTTGCACGCTATCTCCCCCGTTAGACTGGGAGCTCTCGAGGGCAGGCACTGGCGTTGCCTTTCTTCGTATCCCTGGCGCTCGGCCCCAGTGCGGGCGCTTCATAAATGCACACTGGATTGGATCGGCTTATTTCTGCGCCCAGCGTTTAGTTCATAAGAGGCACTTAATGAATGCTACCTGATTGACTTAGGTAGAAAAAGAAGGTGAAGCTCGGGGAAAGCGCGCCGGAAAGGCCAGTGCGGGAGCGTTTAAATAGCTAAAGAGCGCAAACGGCTAAATGACGGAGCAGCCCCAAAGCTGCCACATCCTTGTAGCTCCCGCACGCTGGCGGCCGGGTCCTTATATAGGCGGGCTGGCTGACGTCACTCCGACCCTTGACCCTTCCGGCACCGCCCCGGAGGCGGGGCCATCGGGAGCTCCTCAGACGGTTCTCCCAGCCCGGCTCCCAGTAGACGAGTTGGCGCTCCGACCTCTCCGGGCTCCGGGTCCGATCCAGACTTGTCTATTGGTCGGCTTCCTGCCGAGGGGGCCAGGCTCGGCTTAGGCCTCTCCTCTCGGGCGCGGAGGCACCTCCCCTGTCAGGGAGGGTCCGGGCGTCCGCCATCTTGGGCTCCGCGGCGCTGCTCGGCGGCGGCTGCGGCGGCGGCTCCGGGCACTGACTTTCCCCTCCCCCGCCCCCGCCACTCCCGGTCTCGCGGCGGCTGCGGCGGCAGCCACGGTGGCGGCGGCGGCGACGACGACTCCTCCCGCTGGGGGGCGCGGCAGCAGGGGCCATGGCGGCGACCGCCGCAAACCCTGGTGAGGAGCCTGCGGACCGGGCGGGGGGGGAGGGGGAGGAGCAGGGGCAGGGAGACAGGCGGGTGGGACTGGGGCGGGGGGAGGCCTGGGCCCACGGGGGCCGGGGGCAGGCGCGGGGCTGGGGGCGGCCATCCGGGGGGAGGGAGAGGGGGAGCCGGGGGAACCCGGGGGGCTGGAGAGGGCACCCGAAGGAGGGAGAGAGAGGCTGGAGAGGGAGGGGCGGCGCCGGGGCGGGGAACGATTCGGTCCGGCCGAGGGTGCTTGGTGGGCGCGGGGTCCGGGCCTGGGGATCTGCCCGTCCTGCCCCCTGCCCCCGGGGCGCTTCTGCTGATTCTAGGGGTGGCTGGGATAGTTCGGCCTGAGAGGTGTTTTGGGCTGTGAGTACCGAGGAATGAGGAGCGGAATTCACGGCGCTACGGGCTGCTGCTTAAAAAGGGGCATTGTGTCTTCCCAACCCCGTGTGTGTGTGTGCAGATATAATTTAGTATAGACATACAAATATATACATAGCACATGTGCGCATACAGCATAGTGTATATGTGTATATGCCTGCGAATATATTATTTATTATGTATGGTACCTACATACTATATGTAAGCATTGGACAGTATATCCATAGTATATGTGTGTATATAATAATAGTGTGTATTGTTAAGTCGTGCCCAACTCTTCCTGACCACGTGGACCATACTGGCCATGGGGTTTTCTTGGCAAAGATACTGGATACTTTTCCAGTGAATTAAGGCAAACATAGGTTAAGTGACTTGCCCAAGGTCATGCAGGTAGTCAGTGTTGGAGGTCTTTCTGACTCCAGGCTCAGTACCCTATCCGTCGAGCCACCTAGGTGTCTCTTATAGTATGTATAGTATTGTGTATTTTAGTATATACATACATATATACACACATTGTGTATAAACATATGGATAGTATATACATAGCATATATGGTATTGTATAGATATTATTTAACAAATGTACTATATATGAGCAAATGTACATAGTATATATAATATATATGTAGTACTGTGAGTACACACATTATTTCATATATATGCATACTATATACAAGCATATGGATAGTATATACATAGTATATATGTGTATGTAGTATTTAGTGTATATATATTATATAATAATACATATATCTTCTATATTTTGTGTGTGTGTGTATAGATAGATGGTTATATAGATATAACGGAGTGTCTCTCTTTCTCTCCAGGGTGTCCAAAAGTCTTGGTACAATTTGAAACTATTTAAACTATTAAAAGTTTTGACTTCAAACTTCACTAAGACTTTTGGGACATCCTGTATCTTTAAAATTTATGGAAGAATAGGTATATTTAAATTTCGTAGAAGAATAGGTGGTCAGGAGACTCACCTGGACTCTACTTTTAAACTTGGGTTTGTCTTTTAAGAGACCTGGGTTCCTAGGCAGTGTGTGTGTGTGTGTGTGTGTGTGTGTGTGTGTGTCTCTATGTCTACATAGTTAGGAAGTATGGACTATGATTCAGAATTAAGGCTTTCAAAAGCTTAGATTTCAAGTCTTACTAGGGCTAGGTTAGGTTAGTTTCCTGTCTTTCAGAATTTTGTTTACATATTGGGTAATCTAGATGGGGGATTTCTTTTCAAAAGAATCAGTTAGGCAGATATCCAAGAGACATAGCATGGATATATTAAGGATTTGCTAGGTGTTTGTTGACATATTTGGTATCAAGTCTTAGACCTGGCATCAGGAATAACTGACCTGAGTTCAAATCTTGCCTTAGACATGTACTAGCTATGTGACCTTGAGCAAGTCACTTAACCTCTGCCTCATTTTCCTCATCTGTAAAATGGGATAATATAGTACCTACCTTACAAGGTTGTTCTGAGAATTAAATGAGATAATATATAAAGCACTTTGCAGTAATAACTATATAAATGCTAGCTATTGCTATTGTAATAATTGTTATTGCAGTAAACTGACAAAATTCTTGTTTTATCTCTGCCACTGGTTGGTCTGTGGCAAGAGACTTAATCCTTTTCTGCCTCATTTTCTAAGTAAAATGACTTAGTTTAAATTATTTTGAAACAGTAGATGGACTAGAAGATTTTTTTTTTTGTGAGGCAGTTGAGGTTAAATGACTTGCCCAGAGTCACACAGCTAGTGTCAGGTGTCTGACGTCAAATTTGAACTCAGGTCCTCCTGACTCCAAGGTTGGAGCTCTATCCACTGTGCCACCTAGCTGCCCCTTAGAAGATTTTTTTTAAGTTTCTTCTAACTTCTAAAATTTAGTGATTCTATAATTCTAAATGTAATTTTGCCTGGAGATGAAGGGATGAAATGACCCGTCTCTAGGATTCTGATGGGATTTTAGAAAAAGATTCTTCTCATTTTTCATCTTGGCACTAAATAGAACTGAAACCCCAAGAAGAGGTAAAAAGGTTTGAAAGGGGCTGCTTTCCTTTGGTGACCTGTGGATTCAAACGGAAAATGCTGCCTAAGCATTTCCCAGTAGCTTAGACTTGTCACCGTAGCTTTTTGGTCAGTTTCATTTTAAAGGAGTAGCATTTCTAGAAAGCAAGGCAGTTAGGCACATTGATTTTCTTGTCTTGATTTTTGTATTAAAATAGATCTCCCTGGATCATCCAGTCAGTGTACGTGGAAATTCAAATTGAACCCCTGGAAAAAAATTATCATTTTGCAATAGTAAGAATTTGATAACATCTAATTTCAATTATTGGGAATACTTTTTACTAGCTTTTCTTCATTGTTTCTGGAACAGGAATGTTTGGATGTTAGAAAAATATTCAGTCCTTGCCTCCTGTCCCCCTCAATGTTCATTATATGTTCTTTATACCTAAAACTTTTTTTCAGAGCGAGAAAGGGACAATTTGATAGGTAAGGCCTGAAATTATATTGCAGGAAATTCTGAGAGATGAAATAAAACTGGAAAGATGCTTGTTATTGTAAATCTCACCTTGTAATAAAATGACATCTTTGAACCATGAAACAAATAAATAAGATTTTGAACTGATCACATTGCAAAAGGTAATATAACACCAGCCAGCCAAGTTGCAAAACATTTGCTAGTATTTAATGGCAGCTTGGGCAAATGAGTTGTCTGAAGTGAATTTTTCTTCAGGGTGGGAATAAAGTTTGTGTGTTTATGTATGTGTTAGTTTAACCAACAAAACTCATGATCACATTTTGATGAAGTAATTAATATTAGCTGAAGTTTTGTAAGGCAAGAATAACATTTATTCGAGCAGGTTCGTTTGTTCTTTGATTGCCTTTGTAAATTTAGAAAAGAAATTTAGTAGTTAAAAAGTGAATAATTCTTAGAAATATTGATTGCATTTTAATATATTTTATTTTATTTTATTTTTTGCTTTTTGGGGGGGAGGTGAGGCAAATGGTTAAATGACTTGCCTAGGGTCACACAGCTAGTAAGTTTCAAGTGTCTGAGGCTAGATTTGAACCCAGGTCCTCCTGTCTCCAAGGCCGGAGCTCTATCTACTGTGCCACCTACTGCCTTGCATTTTATTTCTGTGAGGGTTTTTTTTTGCATAGGAATAATTGTCAGTCTTTTAAAAAGTGTAATCCATATATTTGCATAATTGTTTCTTAGTGTTAATCAGTACCAAGGATCTTGCACAGGAAAGATTAAAAAAGAGGACAAATCACCCAAATGTATACGCACATATGTGTGTTGGTATATACATTATATATATTTTTTGGTCCAGCTCTGTGATTTCATTAGTGTGGTCCCTCCCATGTTCAGATGGACAACACTGGTATGTAATTTATAGTTTTAGAGAGTTGCTAAGGGGCACTGAGGTTAAGTGATTGTTACACAACGAGTAGTTATAGAGGCAGAAACTTGAGCCAGCCCTTTTTGACTCCAAGGCCATTCCTTCATCCACTGGGCTATCTTGCCTGCCGTGTTTCATGTACATATATAGAATGTCCCAAAAAACCTTTAAGCTATTAAAAACTGCAGTAAGACTTTTGGAATGCCTTGTAAATTTCCCAGAAAATTTATTTCTTTTATTCCTTTTTGCCTCAAAATGAAGACATCATAGATACTTACATAATTATAATTCAATGTCTTTTTGCCATATTTTATGTGCTTAATGCAAAGTAAATATAGCTAACATTTAAGTAGCACTTTAGGGTTTACAGGAGTGCTTTATATGCATTTTTTTTATTCTTTTATTAAACTTGAGGCAGGTCCTTTTATTTTACAAATAAGAAACTGAGGCTGAGACAACATGTAAGTGAATTGCCTAGGATCATGTACTGCATCAGGTGGAATTTGAACCCGGGTCTTTTTTATTCCTTGTCTCTCAATCTCTTCACTACACCAAACTAATTGTCTAGTAAGATAGGGGGTTTTTTTGAATGGGGAAACCAAGGGATTGTTTGCTTGAGAAAGGAAAAGGGGATCAGCAATCAATGAATACTTGTTGAGTTGAATGCAAGGGAGATAGGTGGCCCCTGAGGGCCACCTATGATTTCCAAATCACATTGAAAACCCTTGACTTAATCAAACAACAGTACTGACTGTAGATGAGCTCAGAAGAAGTTTCTTGGAGAGAGCAAAGTAAATTAATCTTGCATGTCTTGGAAAGTCATATTTGGAGAATCAGTATAAGATCACTTATAACTAAAATATTGAACAGTCTTTCAATAATAATAACAATCAGGTAGAAGCATCTATAGTAAAGCTTGTCAGCCTGTACTTCTGAAGGATAGGTAGGCAGAAGGGAAAAGGCACTGTATTTAACATCAGAAGACTAGAATTCAAATCCTGCCACTGTTACTTACTACATGTATGACCTTGGGCAAATCGCTTAACCCCTGTGGGCTTCATTTTTCTCATCTTTGAAATAAAAGGATTGTAGACACATTACTACTTGATGTCTAGGGTCCTTTCAGTTTTTAAATCTATGAAGCTAAAAGGGCAAAGCAGAAAAAGCTGCAATACTGGCAGGGATATAATGTTACCTGTTTTAGTA